AAAAAATAGTGGTACTCCGCGATTAAATGCGATTTTTACAGTGTTCTGGTCGTTTATTGTTATTTTCAATGACAGGGGATTAATCTACGTTCTTTCGGCTTCAAACTGAATGCTTGATCAAAGCGTAACTTGTCCATAGAACGTTGGAAGAGCTATTCAAAGTGAACTAAACGGGGTACGCATAGCGAGATACAGTGTCAACCGTTGCAAACAAATGCGATTTTAACAATGTTCTTGCGGTTACTGGTTTCCAGCCGTTAGAGAATAGTAATCTACGTTCTTTAAGCAGTGCTTCTAATGCAAAACGAAGAAGAACCATGCCCGTTTAGCGGTGTAAATGCGTTCGAAATCATTTGCAATTAGGGTTGCCGCCTCATAAGGGGCTACAGTAATACAGACTTAACTAATTTTACTAATTCAGCTGTTCTGCACTATTGGGTCGATGCATTAAGTCCTGAGGGACAATTTGAGACTAATAACGTTCATTTTAAGTGGTTAATTACTGAGATATTAGCATTTTTCCATCACTAGAAATTTTCACTCACCTGTCGATATTATTTGGCTAGCAGTTTGAGCGATTCGCCACGGACGGCGCCACCGGTCAATAAAATAGTGGTATTCCGCGATTAAATGCGATTTTAACAGTGTTCTGGTCGTTTATTGTTATTATCAATATAAGTGGAATAATCTACGTACTTTCAGCTACAAATCGAGTTCTTTATCTAAACGAAAGCTGCGCGTATAACGGTATAAGAGGTGTCCAAAGTGAACAAACCGGGGTACGCATGACGAGCTACAGTGTCAACCGTTGCAAATAATGGGCGATTTTAACAGTGTTGTGGTCGTTTATTGTAACTGCCACTGACTGGAGATTAATCTACATTCTTTCAGCTACAAGTCGTGTGCCTGGTCAAATCAAATGCTGTCCATATAACGTCGTGAGACCTGTCTAAATATGAAGTAAACAAGGAGTGCTTGACGTGACCCAGTGACTTCATCCATGTTTCCGGGACTCTGTGACCCCACGATCTCACCCCGTGGTGTGCCGGCGCCAACAGAGGGGGTTCTATGACCCTACGCTCTCACCTCACGGGTCTCTGGTTTACTACAAAAACTAACTACTGCCTACGTCTTTTAAACTTGGGCTGTAGTAGTATCTGCAGAAACTGCTATGGTTACTGGAGTTACTATACAATTTGCTCACGGGGACACGCACAGCGTCAGTCCCAATTCGACACGATTGTGACGTCCCCGCCAGTCGGTGGCGGAAATTGGAACTAATTCTAAAACTCTTAAGCAGCGCCATCTGGTGGCTTAATTACTATTGCCTTAATTACAACTTAGATACATGATATGACAATTTATTTATAATAATATTTGTATAGATTCAGTCGAACTACGCTCTGGTGTTATTCAAGCTTATAAAATATTGCAACTTATATGCCGCAAATAATTCCCTCTCCTGTAACTTGCAAATCTTCCGTAGGATCTTCAAAGCTCTATAAAGGTTTCATAAGTTAGTCGCCGAAATTTTCATTGACGCTAATATCACCGAGTAGATATGATACTACACAGTATGTACATCTGACACTCATAGGGTCCCTTACGCATGTTCGGGGGTTCTATGACCCCTCTTTCCAAGCTACTACATAGTACATCTCACTAGAGTTGAATCGATACCACCAAGGTATCGATACTTCGGCCAACTTCGGCTATAAACAATAATATTATCGTGTGAAAGTGAATATGAAGATGATTCCGCAAGACTTGAAGAACTGGCCAATTTTTAGTTTTCTAGAACAAACATTTCTATCAAAAATTCATATGGTTCTGGTATATGGTATCGTAATTTAGTATTTAAAAATGATATACAGAACGTTAAGAATCATATTTTTATGTTATACTTTATTTAACAGGTAGTTCAGGTAATGAAGCTTTAATTGTAACACAAGATGGAACAGTATATGGTATTGGAAGAAATAGATATGGGTGTCTTGGGATCGGTGATACACACAGTACCTATTATCCAAAAAAAGTTGAAGCTTTATGTGGAAAGGGTGTCAAAACTTTTGCATATGGCAAAGGTGCTTATGTTTTAGCCCTCACAGATAAAGGAACGGTACTTGCAACTTACTTAAAATAATGAGTATCAGGTGAATCACCAGTACTCCAATGAATTGTATTAATTATTGATATTATTAATAGGTGTATTCGTGGGGTGATGATGGTTGTGATCGCAGAACTTTGTCCCATAAACTTATCATAGCACCAACTATTATGTGTATAAATCTTAGTAAAAAATTTATTGTGAAGATAGCCTGTGGAAGTCAGCACTCTTTGGCCTTAACGGATGATGGAGAGGTGAAATAAACCTTCTTATTTAAAGTCATATAGCCATAGATAACACGTACAGGCTGCTTGTATCTATTCAGTTATATGCATGGGGCCGAAACAATTATGGACAACTAGGTGAAGGTGAAGACACCAATCACAATGCACCAAGAAAAGTATACTTCAACTTAAAAAATGAAAAACTCATTCGTATTAGTTGTGGAGATTCATTTAGCATAGCAGTAACAGACAATGGAAAGGTTTATAGTTGGGGTTACAATCGTGTTGGTCAATTAGGAATTGGAAATTATTTGCTTCAAGTAAAGCCATGTGAAGTCCAAGCACTTGCTGGAGTTCTAATAAGTATTACACACTTGTTCATGTTCTGCAAGTACATACATTGATATGTTAACTATATTAATATCGGTTATTTTTATTTGCAGAAAAAGTAGTTTGTGGTTATGGGCACTGTTTAGCATTGAGCAACGAAGGTAACATTTATGTCTGGGGTGCAAACTGTTATGGAGAACTGGGTCTTGGCACAAACTCAAATGTCCACAGTCCAATAAAGGTAAAACTTCACACTGTGCATGTTTTGATGTATTTAGATAAGTAAGAATTTGTTTAGTTGGAAGTGCCAGAAATGGGAAGAGTGTTGGATATAGCAGCTCATCATTACAATCATATAAGTATAGGTATAGGAGAAGGTAATCGAATATTTATGTGGGGTCAGTGTCTGGGACTAAATATCAATGTTCCAACTCTTACACGAGAATTATCTAATTGACTCTCTAAAAAAAGCATTCGACGATCCAGTATGTACTTGTGTTTAGTGGTGCATTTACTTATTGGACATTATCGATTGCACCTATATATTCTATTTATTCTAGTCCATTAGTGACCTCACTATTCAAGTGCAGGGTATCCCGATTCATGTACACAAATCCATTTTGAAGATTCGTTGCGAATACTTTAGAACGATGTTCCAGGGGGACTGGATGGAAAGTAATCAGTGGTAAATATTATTTTGTGGTGCATGCTATCTGTCTGCTGATGTAACTATTTATTTCAGTGTTATAGAACATGACCTGTTTTCATACGATACATATAAAGCTTTTTTGAAGTACTTGTACACCGACGAAGTTGACCTGCCTCCAGAAAACGCTTTAGGTATATAATACTTAGCAATATTTACCACTGGGATACCATGTTTTATCCATTATATTTTTATCCGCAGAACTCTTAGATTTAGCAAACGCTTACTTCCACGATCAGTTAAAGAGACGTTGTACACAGATCATAAAAAGAGGTATTACCGTGAAAAATGTGCTCCTTCTGTACAGCAAAGCTATCAAGTACAAAATTACGGTATGTAGCATTTTGTGTTAATCGTCCTGTTTAGCATATTTTAAATAATACTTGCGGCATTGTGTTTCCAGAACTTAGAGGAGTATTGCTTTAATTTTGCTGTGAAATACATGACTGCAGTGATACAATCTTCGAATTTTTTTGAAATAGATGAATTCACAACGAAAACTTTTATACTTAAAGCTTCACAAGCGGGTGCATTTAAGACATAACTCGCAATGCTTGTTGTCGGAACATATTGTGTGTGTATTTTCTCGACCGATCATCTTTGTACATATTTGTTTGAAACTAGTCGTCAATGGTACGATTTGCTTACTTGTAAGTCGCTAAAATATGTAAGAAATTATAAACTTGAACTTCACGTGCCGAATTTTAATATTTTTGAATCTTGTCAATAAACGACTGGAGATAGAATTTGATTCTTGTAAAATGTCTATCAAGTGATATAAAGAAATTGCCAATCCTCTCCTATTACATTGCCAGCATTCCCATCTATGCTACGATTTTGTCCGTGACACGGATCGCAATGTACGTTAGGCTAGGTTTACTCTCAGGAAAACTGTTAACATGGGTTTAGTTTTAACTGGTTCTAACTTTTAACTGATATACGCGTCCGTTTGTGACGTCTGTAACTGTCTGTAACCACCTGCGAGATATCAAATAGCTCCTATTATAATTTAACATCAGCGGACATTGTATCGTTATTGACTAAAAGAATATATACTTGTATAAACACTCTGTGACCAGCTCCTAAAAATGACTTCAGGGAACTTGAGATACTACCCAATTTTTAGCTTATTAGAACCAGAGTTTATGTCAAAGATTCATATGGTTTTTGTATATGGTATTAGTATTTTTATTGCATAACAATATATGAAGTATGAAGAAACATTTATACGTTAAATTTACTGTAACAGGTAATTTAGGCAATGAAGGTTTAATTGTAACAGAGGATGGAATGACATATGCATTAGGAAATAATAGATCCGGATGTCTTGGAACCGGTGATACTCAGAGTACTCTTTACCCAAGAATAGTTCAAGCATTATGTTTGAAGGATATTAAAACCTTTGCATGTGGCAGTGGACCACATGTTTTGGCATTAACAAATAAAGGAGAGGTATATATTAGCATAATGTTTCAAAAGAACAGGTTGCATTATATTGTTTATGAACATATCTTATTTAATAGGTATATTCATGGGGATGCAATAGATATTCACAGTTGGGACGCCCATCCACTAATGAAGTTTCTTGTATACCAACTCTTGTGTGTATCAATCTTAATAAAAACATTGTTGTGGACATAGCTTGTGGAAGTAATCACTCTTTGGCATTAATAGATAATGGGGAGGTCTCTGTGAATGAAAACAGAATTATTCAAAAAATGTGGTTTGATTCGAAATGCTAAACAGATTGTTTACATTTAGATATATGCATGGGGCAAGAACAATTTTGGACAAGCTGGTAAAAGTGAAAGTGTCGATCAAAATGCACCAACGAAAATTAATTCCACTCTATCAGACAAAAAATTCATCTGTATTAGTTGTGGAGATTCGTTCTGCATAGCAGTCACAGATAGCGGAGAGGTTTATAGTTGGGGTGACAATAGTGAAGGCCAGTTAGGAATTGGAAATTTTAAGAATCAAGCAAACCCATGCAAAGTCTCTACACTCACTGGAATTATAATAGGTGCTATGAAATATCTCCTAAATTAAGTGAAAATCATATTGATCACTAATATAGATTATTTACATCAACAGAAAAAGTAGTATGCGGTTACAAACATACTCTGGCATTGAGCAACAAAGGAGTTCTCTATGTTTGGGGTGGAAACAATAATGGGGAATTAGGTCTTGACTCCATAAGGAATGCTTGTTTTCCAGTGAAGGTAACAGAATATAATACATCAAGCTCTTAATAGCAGCTCTGTCCCTAGGTTTCATAACGACTTTCTATCGTTGTAGAGGATATACTTTTGAATCCGACGCACTCACAAGTAATAATATATGATGACGACACAGTACGAACAAGTATGTAATTTGATCGACCGTACGCAAATGAAGAGAGCTCTCGTATGTTATGATTGAGTTCTTTCTCGCATTATCGCCGGTGAGCGTGTATACAACAAACCGAGCTGCTATTGAGAACCTATTGTACATTTGCATTAATGAATTAAGTCACGCGTGTTTCTTTAGTTGGCCGTGTCAACAGTGAGCAGAGTATTGGATGTAGCAGCTAACCATGATAATAATATAAGTGTGGCTATGGCAGAGGGCACTGAGATATTCATATGGGGTAACTGTTTAGGACAGTGCATTAACTCTCCATTATTAACTTCTCTAGAATGCATGCACGACGCTTTCGCATATTATGGTTCGCCACGCGTTATGTACCGACCACTTATTCCATATGACAAGGAAGAATTCACTTTAATGGATTCTTTGATGGAGGCATTTGATGATTCAGTATGTATTCTTTGTGCTTAACCATGTTACTCTAATCAATTTTGTGGTAATTTATCTGTATGTTGAAGACTACCAGTGATCTCACTATTCGAGTGCAAGGGAAGCCCATTCATGTGCACATGGCTGTGTTAAAGATAAGGTGTCAGTACTTCAAGACAATGTTTCAAGGAAACTTAACTGAAAATAATCAGAGGTATATCGAGATATTATGTGAACGCGCATTTTCATTGATACAATTTTCTTTACAGCGTTATAGAGTATTGTGAGTTTTCTTATGATGTGTATAGAGCTTTTCTGAGGTATCTGTACACAGACGAAGTTGATTTACCTGCAGAATCTGCCTTAGGTACATGCTCAATATTTATCAACGTGTTAATGTGTTTTCTTTAATCTGTTTCTCTTTTTTTTCGGCCAGAACTCTTAAATTTGGCGAATGTTTACTCTGTGGATCACCTAAAAAGACGTTGCATAAAGATAATAGAAAAAGGTATTACCGTGGAAAATGTGCTCGTCCTGTGCAACAAAGCTATCGAGTACGAAATCACGGTGTGTAATATTTTGTATTGTATATCGTATTTGGCATACTTTAAAATATTTGTGGCATTCTGTGCTTTCAGAACATAGAGGAGTATTGCTTCAATTTCGCTGTAAAACACATGACTGCAGTCATACAATCCCCGAAATTTTCTGAAATAAATCAATCCATAGTGAACACTTTTATGAATAAGGCTGCTCAAGCGGGTGCGTGTAAAGGCACGTGGTTTCCACCAGATGAATAACCATAAAACCAGCACAAATTGCGTTATCATATAACATCTCAACTTACGTTACCATATAACTACTGATATTGTTTTACTCATAATTTCCTACAAATTAAAATTAATCACAATGAATACAATCAATGAACTGATTCCTCCAAAGAAACTGATAGACTGGTGTAGCAGAATATTTACAAGTGTTCAGGAACTTTTTGCGAACTGTACGCGAAAGATTGTGTAGTGATTATAAAAAATTTGCGAACAGAGTTCGTGAACTGTTCTCGCTGGTGAGTACGCACCTTAGAACGTAACGTGATACAGTTCTCAATACACTTATTTGAGATTCCCAATGTTCCTGTCCCTTCTGTCAATTAATTGATCACGATTTCAGAAAGGAAAATGCTGCGTACCCACCTTGCTTCTTAACAGACCCGAGTAGGTGTTCTATGAATTTGAAGAAACATCACAGAGGACAAGACGAATAGTATTTACTGAATTGTCGTTCGTACATTATTTTTATTATGATATTCTCAATATATACAAGCAGTAAATTTTTGTTGTTCGTATAATATGTACGTAACTACCGATTATTAATAATATTCAATAACGTCATTTAATAAATAATCATTATTATTTATATTTATATATATATTTATTTATATGTATAGGTAGTATTAAGGTAATCGGTTTGCCGTTTGGAAATTAGTTATGTGTCTTTATTTCAATCGTCTGATCTGCGCCGCCCTTACATTCTTTCACTTTGCCACGGTTCTCTACTCGCGGAAAAATCCCGACAATTTCCCAATTACGGTCAGAATTTGCGTGATCGAATTCGATTCGGGGTAATCTCGTCGCGTGGCCATTCTGGTGTGTGACGATTTTCATATATTCGAGTTAATCAGACCTATCGTGGATAGATCACTGAAGAAGCATCGCGTTTCGCGTACTTCCGGTATCATACCAACACGATCATTCGATCGACCAATTAATTTATTCGGTGAAATTTCACATAGCTCTACATTCTTCCATTCGATACAACAAATGATTTTTTGTCGAATTATTATACTCCCGAGATTCTAACGATCTACATATAAATCACTTTTTGAATAATGACTCCCGTTTGCTGCTTTCGATAATTTATGTTCAGCTTTGTTTACGTTACACGAGACTGTACACACCTTCTTATCGGGCAGACACGCAGTCGTCTCAGACGGTCGATTGAATCGAGAATCGCAGCTCGATACGACAGGGGAACCGGAAAACGCGATCGGTGCCCCCTAGAAGACGTCGCATCGAATACCTCGATCAGCTATTCGACTAGGATAATCAATTAATTAGTTTCTGTGTGTGTGTATGTTTTTCTTTGAGTTAATTAGAGCGTATTTAGGCCTGCGGGCTACTTTTCCAGCGACTCGCTGTGAATCCCATTGATAGAAGCGAGATCTCTCTCGTCTCGACGAAGAAGGAAAGGAAATGAAAACAAACGATCTTTTCGGTAATATCGTCCGTGTCGTTTCTCTTGGTATACCCGTCGGTCCTCCTCTCCCTTTTTTTTCATCCCGCGTTCGTCTCCTCCATTCGCTTCGAAACGATCCTTTATTCTCGCTCGTCTCGAAAACAAGAACGCGCCTTTCCACTGGTTCTAGGTACACACGGAACTACCGATCGGCGTGGAAGAACACGCCAGGAGGGCTCCATTTTCCAATCGTCGACGGGACCAGCGACACTTTGTAACGAGATATGTACACGTATAAAGGGTGCACGAGAATATTTACACGAGTTCACTGCACGCCGAAGGACACGATTCACGGGAATATCGGGATGATCCTACGCCGTTTGAACACCTTCCCACGTTAAACACTTTGTCGCTAAATCGGACAATTCGGGCTGGTTTACACTGCCCACGTGGATGAACCGATTCGATCGCGCGACATTGCGGTCCCGCCCGGACACGTTCGTTCGTTCCAACAGCGCGATCTCTACTGCCCGTTCAACGATGCCGAGTCAATAAAAACTAATCAAAACATTCGTGTGCTAAGCCGAGCTATTGGATGGCAATTGTCTCTGTCCATGCCCGCCTGAATGGTCTCCACCTTCCTTTGTTTACAATTACTGACTCGACTCGTTGAATGAGGTTAGATTCGTAGAATTAAATTAAAACCGTTCACCCTTCGCCGTTTCCGCGGTAATACACTCGGGGACCATGCGATTTTCCTTGATTTTACGGGTTCTTGAGTATGATTTCCATTGCACTGCCAATGCTACCGTGTGTTGCAGGTTGCCTTTTTGCTGCGTCTGAGCAGCGCCATCTTTTCCAAACAGTGAAAAGCTACTACCGATGTCCGAGCGGGACGTTACGCAGTCGGTGCTTCGACAGGATTCGCATTTCAATTATCGATCGACGATTGTTTGGACATCTAATTTCCACAGATTTTACCCGTTCGTTTGATCGCTCGTCCACATCCTGAACGGATCGACCCGGCGAATGGGTCACGGAGGACCGACGTTCCGACGCCTTGCGATTATTGTACATACATTAAATTACATGCATAGAGCCACAGTTAAGTCGTACCGTGTGTATCGCAGGTTTCGCATTTTGTCTATCATGTTCTCGTTGCGCGGTCCGATTTCTTCTCGTTTGTGATTCGACGAATGAATAGCTTTGTCGATGACGATTTGTTCTATTTCTTTTGTCTCTCTCCCTTCTTCTTCTTCTTTTTTTTTTTTTTAATATTTTGTTCGTTATTTTTTTCCTGTACTTATCATTTCGCGTGTCGTTTTGTTCGTTCGCTCAACTTCACCTCGACGCCTGGCGTCGCGGTGGATGATCGTTTAGAGTCCTTTGTACAGACTTCTAATAAATCGTTCTGGAACCTTCGCTGGCTATTCTACGTCGATCCCATCTTCCCCCCTTCCCTGGTTCGCGTGCGTCTTTGATTTTGAGTCGCTGATATCCAGGATATTTCAGGACCTTGGATGACTTGCGTGAGTTTGTTACCATCCGCGCGATCCCTACGAACGTTCTCAATTCTAACGGGCAGCTGTTTTCATTGAACAAACGCTCCATGGAAGAATTATGTAGCAGAACAATGAGCCACGACGATTACGTTGACCGGTCCGATTACAATTTCGTATGGAAGCTCGAACTGGAAGCATTTCGAACAAGCGCGAGGTAAGGCGAAATAAGAACGTGTCCGTTAATTGTTCAGAAGCATTAACAAAATTTTATACCCCGAAGGAAACTATGGAAAATTGCGAAAATAAAACAGATAACGAAGGGCTGAACCAGACGGAAACGTAGAAAGATCGACGGAATCCAAGATGGCCGCCCGAAATAAAAATCAATAGGTACGGAACGGACCTGCTGGAAATGTTCCAGCCGACGCCATTCCTCGGGTTCATCTCAGTTACCATCGATCCGAATACGTATATCGGGGCTCACTATCGTGAAATCGATAATCGACAAAAACTCAGTGGCGCAGAAACCGGAGGTAAAATTCATTTCCCGATCTTCCTTCTCATAGAGAATTGGGAGTGGCGTTGATCGACCGAATTGAAAGCGTTTATCCGTCGAGGATGTAAAAGAGCATTCGAAGCTCATTTCTCCGGACGAGCTTGGGATAGAATTCGATCGAAGCTGGGAAACGTTTTCTTTCCGGCACACTGATGTCTAACGTACAATTAAATTAATTTCTACGCGCGTATCCTTTACCATTCGGTCAGTATTTGACGCGAGAAAGACGAGAGGGCGCTGACGGCAGAGGATAGTCGACGCAAGTGGTCTGTTCCAGAACGTTTCTCGGGACGCGCACGGGTATCTTTCCACCGATCGCTACAAATTTCTCGTCCCCTCGTTTGATCTCACGGCGATCGTAGGCGTACAGGCCCCAATTAGGAAGGGAGGACAAACAAACAGCGAGCCGACACGCTCGATGGGCTCGAAAGATTCATCCGCGAGTCCGTCTCAAGATACGTCTTCACATGACCAGTAATCGTAACTCTTACGGTCCTGACACTGAATCTTCTAATTTTTCGTCGTGGTAAAAACTAGACGTTGCGCTGTCGTGACATTGGTTCGCATTGTAAAGTGTCCACGACAACGAAACCATTACTGTCACGTGAAAACGTACCTTCAGTCCGCGTTTCGATTCGGCGTGCAACATTTTTTTTATTTTTCAGAATGCAACACGCGTTGTACTAAATTCGTTCCACGAGAATTCCATTGAGTTCATCGTCGAATCTCATTCAAGAGGCACCTGAGATTCGAACGAAGAGCATTCACAAGAGGACTAACGATAAAACGATCCGAATCGGCTGGCGACGACCGACGGACTCTCGAATTCGTTTCACCGCCCCGTTCCGCTTCGTCGCACAACACTCTCTCCGTTGATCCGCAAATAGTTGCGCGTGACAAAGTATGTACAAACGTACGACGGTACCGTCTCTATAGTATATATACATAATGCATTGAAATCATCGCAGTGAGTTTAACGCGGCAAGGTAGACGCGTGCAGGCACACCACGCGCGCGCGCGCATCTTTTTTTTCGTTCACGATTCCATCTCTATTCCAGCGAACGCTTTCTGTCCCCTGCCAACGAGCGATTTCCAAGGGAAGCAGTGGTTGGGGGTTTAAGCTCTCCTTGAACCGTGTTATGGTAACCAAATAAATTTTCGATGGAACAACTACTTAGCAATAGAATAATTTAACAAATAGCTGATCGTGTTTCGTGGTCCATCCTGTATATATGTATACACGGTACCGTAAGAAATTTTTAGGGGGGCGGAACGAAATCGTTGCTATCGGAAAGCGTTACGGACCGAATGGAATTTCATTCGAGCGGAAGTCCGTTTACACGCGCGCGCGTCCGCCTGTACGCACGCGGTGTCATTCTACTTACAGTTGTAGTCGCTATAATATTATTAGTGGTTAACCTTAATTAACTTAGCCTGGGTTCGTACTACACGCCGTCATAACCCGATCCCCGGGCAGGAGAAAAGGCGCCGAGGAAAAGGGGGAACCAAACGGTGAACACACATGACGGCAAACCTTCCGGTTGGGATCCCTCTTTCCCTCGGTCGATTCCGTTCTTTCCTCCTCTCCCGCGTCGTTGATCGTTCGTCCCGCTGGATCACGGATCCTATCGCGAACTATGTATATGTATGTGCTGTCCCGTTCTGTTTTCGAAAGAACGATCGACGTTCGACTTTTCTCGCGGATAGAGTTCAGTCTTCCGAATTAATTTAATTTTTTTTTTTTGGTAGAGACTGCGGGATGCTCGGTCACTCGATCGAACCTTTCGATGAAGATGGCCGCCTGCAGCGAAATGGTGAGTCCAGAAAACGGAAATTGTTAGGTTTCACCCAACGGTACTTTTTTGCTAAACAGTTGTCAGTTGGTTATGTTCTTTTTATAAAAAATCTTCGAAATAAAATCAGAGACCAATCATAGCACCCAGTATATCGTTAGAAACTGTATATTCCTGATACTTTAAGCTAAAATTGAAATAGAGAAAGGAAGATCTCGATTGAAGCCACGACTGCTGTTAATTGAAGATGATTTCTCTTTTTAAGAAAAACGTACCACCAAGAATCATGATTGGGCGTATAGAATTCACGCATGCAGTATCTCCTCGACGAACAACAACCCTCAACAATGTACATCTATAAAGAGTACCTTCAACAGTGGATCATATCATCTTTATCGATAACAATTAAACACAATACCCACCGTCAAGGATAATTCAAAGGATAAAGTTAAAAATGATTTTCCACGATTTCGTAACCACTTCTCGTCGACTTTCCGACGGTGGCCGTCGACGACGGACAGGCCGACGATCGAGTATTCAGGGTGCGTACGCCCGGTCGATCAACGGCAGGTCGGAGGAGGTGGGCAAATCAGCCGTGGCGAACGCGATTTGTAATTCTATCGGGGATAGGCTCGAGGAGGCCTGGGCATGATTTACGTCAATTTACCGGAACACGAGGGACGCGTGCACGCGAAAATTAATCGGCCAGGTCTGGACGAGCCTCGCGTTCCGATGCCTCGTTACAAGTCACGTTCACACCCTGGAACCACCCCCCTCTCGATAAATGATCGCCAGGTGACGTCGCCATCGACGATGGTTCGTCGACGAAGAAACGGTGTGAAGTGACTATGGAAGAAATACGGAATTTTATAAAACACGCCTGGAACGTCCATGAAGATTCGTGGTCTCGATAACTGCTCGCGGTCTCGATAAATGATTGCGAGTTGTCGTCGACGCTGATCGACCAGAAAACAATGTGAAATTAATATCGAGGTAAAAATACAGAATTTTATTAAATGAAAATATCGATCTACTTGTTACTACAGTTCTACTGGTTCTTGGTGGGTAATGAACGATCCGAAACGATGAATCTCCGCGATAGTCCCGTAGCGATATCCCTCCGTGATACGATTCGACGAAAACCGTTTCTGATCGCGAACCAGCCGCCGGTTCAACCACGCCAATAATCGTTCCCCCACCCCCACAGAGGGCGATAATATCACGGCCCCATTTCACAGGCGTGTGTGTCCCGGCCCGCTTCGCGGCGTTTAAGTCTCCGCAATTTGGACGAATGCAATCGACTCTGCAGTGGCTGCAGCCGCATTACAAACATGCGCACGTATAGGCGGCCACAGAGCATATAGATCGAATTGCGGCTCGCATTACCCTGCCACTCTCTGTCTCTCTTCTTCTATCTCTCTTTGCACAGACAGTCGTAGCAACGATCACCGGGACGAGATTAAACGCAGACTGGAGCATCCTCCTCTCGAAGAGCGACGCGGGAAAAATCGATCTGGATCGCCTGTGGTCCACGATCGTCCATCTTTGTCGAGGGGAGAACATCGATCCTCGAAGTACACGATATCCAGTAACTCGCATATTTGTTCGTATACTTCCGAAATAACGATTAAAGGTGAAAATTTGTATGAAATTTCTGTTCACGTAACTTCATTATTTTTAATCTTATCATACTTTAAAAGGTAAGTTTCTCTTGGTTTCGAATTGAAATTCGCTGTTTAGTACGTAATTTTGTCAGAGTTAACAGACTTTGGTGAATAAATTTGTGAGTCACTGTACAGAGATCGGGCGAGAGATATTGCCCCGAATCGCGTCGAACGATTTTCAGTTTCGAAGGCTTTTCGGTCGATGTTTCCGGGTACTCGATGATACAGCGTTCTTTCCGTGAGTGCACGAACGCTGGGAAACTCGCGGGCGTATTAAATGATTCAAACGCGATTTCCGGTCCCCGTCTGGACACCTTGGACTCCTGATATTTTATGAATGGACTGCGGATGTTTCGGTGAGTTGTTCCGTTGGTATGCAAACTGGAGACTCGACTGACTGAACGGGGTAATGTTTACCGTTTTATGGATAATGTTTACCGTAGAGTGATCCCTTCTTCCCAATGGTAAAGTATTTTTGCCCATGCACAATTGTAAAAAATATTTTTTAAATGTTTCTTTGGCTTGGAAGAAAACCAAATTATTTGTTACGATGCTCGCCGAATTCGTCTCGGTATTTGCTAAAGAGACTTCAGATTTTTATCTATAAAAAAACTGTAGGTGACCTTGAAAACTCTGGAACAAAAGGTTCACAAGAGATTTGATACAATCGTCTTGAAGCTCTCCTTGAATCATGTTATATTAACCAACAAAATTTTCGATCGAAGCAGTGGAATAATTTAAGCTGATCACGTTTCGTGGTCCACCCTCTATAGTGCAGACGTGGCTTTAGCGCAGATCGTTTACATTTTTACTGCGACGCAGCATCGATCGGACCGATCAACGGAGTTCGGAGCCGCGGATACCGTTTTCCGCGACGATTCACGGACCAAGGAAGCGAAACGAAATTCCTGCAATGGGGGGGGGGGGGGGGGGGGGAGGTGAAACGAACCGCGACAAACGACAGCGAAATGCCAGGCCACGTCCAGGAAATCGTGGATAACGAACGGCCGGATAATGGCCCAGCCGTTTTATTAAATTTTCCAACGGCCCCGCTCGAATTATTCTGTTCGAAAGGGGAGGAGGCGAGGGTGGTGTATAGGAGACGAGTGCGTCCCCGCGATAACGTCCAACCTCGGCTGCGATATCTCGTCCATAAAATAAAAAGCCCCGATATCCCGGTGACCCACATCCCTCCCTCGAGCAGCGTTTCGACTAAAAGGCTGAAACACGTTTTCCACGCGCGCACACGCCACCCCACACGAACCGTTATGGCGCACCTCCATCCAATTGCCCGTAGGAACCTACCACCCCAAACTACCCCCTTGGAATAGAAAGGCGCGCCTTGGGACATCGAAATTCGAGCGGAATAACTTACACACGATCTTCCAACCCCCCCTTGATTCATTTTCCTGTAACGTCTTATCCGTGTCCCTGTCGTTCCACTATGGTAGCAGGTGCGAAGCAAAATCGTGGCAATTTTCCCTGTGAAAACGACGCTATTTCTGTCGGGGGACGCCAGTACTCTGTAAGTTGATTGTTTAAAGATTTCTGTTAAATTTTGTTAGCTTAACGTATCGATCGATGTTCGAATGAAACTGATAAAACCTTCAAACAGACTAACAAAATTTCCGTCAGAGTTCTAGCTTTCGTAAATTACTTCGTCAAGCCTATCCACGAGGATCCGTGATCACCGGCCAACCGGAAGCTGCACCGAGAAACCCGTTTACAGTGACTCACCCATTTCTTCGCAGACTTCTGAAACAACAATCGGTTGTCGAAACGTTTCCTGCAATTTCTATTTACATATTCTCCGTACCGCTACCTCTCATCATCCTTTCGTGACAAATAATTCTCAATTTTCAAATAAAACTGCCATTTCCCTAAATAATTCGATGGAACTCGGAGTGACGGACTTTCGCGAACAAACTCCGTAACCTCGTCGATCGTGCTTTCGAGAACGGAACGGGAAAAAAAGAAAAAGTAATATCGAAATAAACTAAAAAAAAGAAGAAAAAAAAAGAAGAAGAAAAAACAGCACTTGTCGGTGGGTGACGCGTCGGTCCAAGGAGATCCTCGAGTCTCGCCACCCTTCCCCCCTTGGTCCAGGCGGTCACAGTTTAGCTGGTGTTCCTGATCCGTGTCGGTTCGCGGGCCGAACCTTCCTCACCCGTGCGTCGAAGCGTACGTTCTTCGCGCGCGCGTGACCGACCGATCGAGCGCGTGTTGATATGTCTGTTTCGTTTTTGTTTCGTTTTGTTCAATTTTGTCGTTGTTGCTTCCCTCGTCTCTCGGTCCTCGTCGTGTCAACGGTAATACCGTAATCGGCTGGTCGTCGCCGTTCTCCCTTGAAGACCCACCCACACACGGGGGGGGGGGGCGGTCTTTTGCCACCAAGTCCTCGTCGATCCCGCGCGCGTGTTCCTTCATCTAGTTGCTATCTCCTCTCTCTTTCTTCCTGTTTTTCTCTTTCTCCCTCTCTCTTCGTCTTCTCACTCTTCCAGCCAATCCTTGGCTCCGTCAATGATCGAGGACGGTCCGTACAGCCGGACGGTGGAGCTAAACGAAGCCTCGTGCGTCGAAGATCGGCGGCACGCCGATCCTCTGGTTAAGCAGACCGCCGATCGCCAGCAGGCCAAGCACCAACAACAGTCGACCGCCACCGTTCACGCTGGTGCCGCTGCAGGTCTCCTTCGAGGAGTGCTCCAGTTTCGCTGGAACAGAGACCAGAAACGGTCAAGAGATTAAAAGGATGACGCGTGTCGTCGATAAGTAATCCACCGGTTTTGATTTTTGAGATTGTCTGTGGATTTTTGTGAAATTAGATGCATCTCGATCCTTTCGTCGGGTGACAATGGTGTATAGGGTGCGGGGAAAATCACTATAAGTATGTAAATTGAACAGTATAGATCCTTGGATTTATACAGAGTGTCCCACATTACGTGAGCACTTTTAGTATTTCGGTTGATTTTGATTTGTAGAAAATTTATTTCAGTAAATGCTCAATAGTGGTGTCCAACGATTCGATATATTTAAATGTACTCTCGTACATTTATGGATTCTTCGTACTCAAGGTCACACGAAGGTCATACTATGATAGGTCAATGGATTGGTCTTGATCTCAATTACTACGCCACGCTGATACAAAAAATATCTAGTCCCATTTAAAAGAAAGTTAATGGGAATTAGTTGATCGTTGTGTATTATCTAAATTTCAAGTAGTCGTTTTATCCGAGTGGTCTCGAGTAGACAGAGGATACTTCCCTGTGCAGCAGTTTCACAAAGTTTTTCCCATGTCCCACCATAATTCGATCTCGCTTCCGGGGGTCAGAGGAAAGAATGGAGTCGGATCGACAGGCCAACCAGACCGGAAATTGAACATTGGATCTGTCGCTCGCTGCCCGAACGCTTTGATCGGCGAGCCAGCCAAAAGCCATCGACAGCCCTTCTAGCAATTTACACTATCGTCTACAAGTGTACTTGGACAGTTTGAGAGGTTACCTCTTGATTTAATTAAAGCAATCGATGTTCTCGGTGTTGTTGAAGAACTACGATATTAAGTAGAGGGAAAATAAATAGCCATCCACCGTAGACTATTACAATTCAATATAGTTCCATCGATTGTTTGCTTTCGGTTTACAAAGTCTAATCTCTATCGTGCCCGAAACAGAACTAAAGAAATTTTACATTCAGCAAAAATATTCGTCGTAGCTGTCGGAGTAATAATAAAATCTTTGAAAATTGTATATTCATTGTTCATGTTAATTTGTATTTAAACACAGAAAACGAAGAACGAAATTTTCCGTACGAGAAGAAGGCTCAAAATCGTCTAATTTCCATTTCCGGTTGTCTAGAAAGCGATACAACACGAGGAACAGAGAGAAAGACGGTCCTCTTTCGGGTGGCACGAGTCCCAAGGAGGCAAGACGAGCGAGAAAAATTCCGCGACGGTGCCCCCTCCAACACGTCGCGAATATTAATGGGCTTCCGCAAATAGCCGCGGGCCGCTGCTTTGCCGTGGACATTTCATAAAGCGTCCGGAACAATGGGAAACAGCCGAGTGGGATAGAGGCGAGGCCAGAGAGAGGGGGAAGGGGACAGGTAGGCGGTCGTTCCTTTGACGCAGCGGCCGCATTAATCGGCCGAATATAAAAGTAATAAAAGAGAGGGCGAGAGAAGGGGAAAGAGAACGGATCCCCCTCCAGCCCCGTTGACGCGGATTACGGAGCAACAAAGAATTAATTTGGCTCTGCTCGGGGAGCAACCGTTGCGTCGCGCGATTCCCTCCCTCTTCCTTCCTTTCACCCGGCGAAATTCAATTAAAATTTGCCGGATAATCGGGTATTACGGTAGCTCTCGTCGATTGTCACCGAGCAATTAACAGCGCCCTCGGAAGATTCTCGACCTCTCACCCTTCTGTTGCTCGAACCTCGAGGATTCCTTTGGATCGGGACAACACAGACCGATATTAAAAGCGTCCCTCCTCTCTACGGTGTCGAAACGAGATACGAAAGAACGGTCGACGGAGGAATTTATATACAGGGTGTCCGAAAATAATTGGAGAAGCCGCAACATGCATATTCCTCGTGGAAATACATATCGAAAAGTTCTTTATCGTTTTAGTATCCGAAGCTCCGTTCCCGAGATATTGGCAGTTGAACGAACTCGAATCAGCTGAGTGGTCGGCCACACGTACGCGCAGCAGTCAAGGAGCAGAGGCCAGTCAGCTGAGTCGCGCGTACGTGTGACCGATCGCTCAGCTGATTGGAGTTCGTTCGACTGCTAATATATCGGAAATGGAGCTTCAGATCACAAAACGGTAAAAAAATTTTCGATTTGTATTTACACGAGGAATATGCACGTTGCGGTTTCTTCCATAATTTTCGAACACCCTGTATATAGAGATGTATCTGGAAAATTCTCCGAGAATTCTAGGAGAAAGGGAACGAGGCTCCGATAGGCAGGGGTGAGAGAAAGTTCCTGGGGAGAGCATCCCGATTCAACGGCGTATCCGCTCGGTTCAAAGGGAAGCGACACCGTATCTCTCGACGTTCTAATTGCTGGTAACTACTGTTTGAAAACTGTTCGGCGGGCTTTCCTCGACAAAGATCCTCGTTTCCGTGGCGTTCGCGACGGTTGGCTTCGTTTCGTGAGTATCGTAAGTGTTCTACTTCATTTTGAAAACGGGCACTTGTGCGCTCAATTATATCCAAGCTGTAACGAGCATACTCGACAAAAGGTCGAGTAAATGGATTTACTGTGAAATTGAAATACGTTCTAATAAAATGACAAAATTACTGTCGCGACTTGAGCACTATCTATTCCCAGAAAAAAAGTCACTGCTTTATCAGACATCCCTCATACATGTACTGTTGCATATTTCTTTTTTTGTTCATTCCGAAAATATTCTAAAATGTGTTAAAAATACGAAAATGTTCTTTCTTTTACCTACATTTTACTTTAAATAGAAAATGCAAATTCTTTTTGCTTAACGACGAGTGTACTCGTCGTTAAAGGAATAGAGATGCAGTCTTTTCATGACGAGTACACTCGACATAAACATCGAAGAAAGCGTTAACGCGCGCGCACACACGTGTGTGTACAGGTGCACGCACACGTGGACACGTTTAGCGCGCAGGACGCGCGGCGCGGGTTGCGGCATCGATCCACAACCACCCTGCCGAGAGAACGGCCAGTTCCAGCCCCGCAACCCTCGTTTGCCCTGCTCGTCCCGTTCTGTTTCGTTCCTGGGTGCCGCGATCAGAGGCCCCCTACATCCCCTTCGCGCCGTGCAACCCCTCCCCCTCCCTCTACTACCACTCAACCCCCCACCCCATTCCGTAACATTATCAGTGTTTTGTTTCCGAGGCGCTGGCACCGAGGAAACGTGCCCCCGTCTCGGAACGGGCCACCTCCCTTCTCCCGTCATCTCCCGTTGCTCCATTCCTACCCTTCCATCTTCTTTCTATCCACATTCCTCCCACCCCTCGATCCCGACAAGGTGGCAATTATCGTTTGATAAGGGGAAGGACGAAGAAGGTTGGTATTGGGCTGTGGAGTTTTCCATATCTCCATCAAAATGGGAATTATCTAAAATGCGAGATAATAAACTACAGTAAATCCTCGATCAGTGTTTTCAGGCTTCTCAGTATTGACAAAGAGACGTCCTCAGATGGTAACGTTTTTTTAATATCTGACATTGTAAATTTGCATCAACTTCCACAGACTAATTATCAGAAATGTAACGATACAGAGTTCCAACAAGGTACGAGTGTCTTTGACAGAGAAGATTACCAATAGCGTGGTAACGTATACCCGTGGCTGCGCCGTAAAGAAACGGGATTATCTTTGACGCAGTTGGGCGTCTATGGAAACGAGGGGAAGAAAGTAACACGGTGTGGCAGAGTGGGGCATGGAGGGAGGTAAGGAGGGGGACGATGGATCCTCGAGGCTCTAGAGAGCTTACGCCGGACTGCTCTAGATGACGTTCTTGAAGTTAACAAGGCGAAAGATCCAATTCCCTTTCCCTTCGTGGTCGGGTAAGTTTGAAGATGCTGCTCCAGGTAGAGACGATTCAACGAGATCCAGTCGAAGTCGACCAATTACCACTCGCCGTTGGTAGACACCGATGATACACACCATCATATCCCACTGCCACGCTCTCTGAATACATACACCGCAACCGATCGTCCCCGCAACGTCGACACGTCGAAGGGGAAACGGAACGTCGAACGGATAATGGTCACCGATGACAATCCCTCCCCCCTACGTCACATATCGTTATCGACCAACGATGCGTAAATTCTCGCGGAGACAAATTGCGGCGGGTACGCCTGGAAAATTTTCCGCCCTTATTGGCCCGCAATTAAAATACATATTCAGCCGTCGCTGCACAGTAGTCCGGAATTGAAACCTAGCAGCTCGAATGGTCAACAAGAAATTTCATTTATTCTCCCGAAAAAAAAAAACATTCACGTCAACTTATTATTAACTGTAGAAACTCCTCGGACCTGTTTGTCTCGTAAATTTTAATCGAAAGATTCCCCAAAGGTTTCATATTTTCACAAAAACGTTGAGAGGATACTGTTAGCGAACGATGACGTCACCGAAGAGAATTACTAGCATTGATAACAATTTATAGATTCATTTCCTTCAACTTATATGACATTACTACACTTTTCGATCGTTCGAGCTGAATAAGCGTATCGTAAATTTCGATTCTGGGCCACTGGATGTCCAGATTACTCGGTAATCATTGATTACTGGCCCAATTTCACGTGGTCGTAATATCTTAATCGTTAATTAGATTACGTTTTGCCCAACTCGGATACCAAGCCGACGGAAAGATAACGCGTGAATGGTGATTTGGGTCAGAGTTGCTCGTTGGCCCCAGATGTCAGCGAGTTGGTCGTCGATCATTCAGCGCGAATCTCGAAGACGTCCACCGTCGCGATTATTCCACGACCTCGAGGCTCCCCGTGTCTCGCCTGAGTAAAGTTCGTTCCGAGAGACGCGATACCCGACGACAGCCAGCCTCGGGAAAGTAATTAAGTGAAAACGCGTCGGGGGGTAGGAGGAGAAAGGAGGACGTCGGCTGGCTCTACGAGACCTGAGATGGCTCAAGTTTGATTACGGACGGTTCCTCTTCCAGCGAACTTTTCCAATCGATCGTGGAATCGATCCCACTCCCTCATTCTCCCTCTAGGGGACGGTT